ATGAAATAACTAAGGGAAATAAAGATGAAGCAAGTGTTGAAAGGTGAAGGGTAAAAAGGCTGAATTAGCCAGGTATCTTAAACATGCAACAACTCTCCATACAATAGGACCAATCTGTCCTAAGCAAACGTTAAAGAAACGATAAAATTCTATGATGGCTGGGTCAATAGGTGGTCTAAAACCTAACGTAAAAGGATATGTATAAACGAAAGAGTAACCAGCTTGGAACGAAGTAATCCTTTGGTTTGGACCAGAAACTAAAATTGGAAAGTCAAATTTCCGATGGCATTCTCTTCGCACAAGAGAAATCAAACCCTCAGTAATCTGGGAAGGATAAACATCAGCACATTCATGGCAAGTCATAGAAGTAACTTGATTTCTAATTGATTCACGATCAGTGGAGAAAGAAAATTCTACAGGAATAATTTCGTCAATAGTTGGTTCTCGAATAGGTTCACTCGAATCCTTATTTCTGGCAGAAGATCTATGAGTTGAAGAAGCCCTAGTTCTAGAAAAAGAAGGGGTAACAATGTTGGTTTGCGAAGTAGAACCACGAATAGATACAGATCCTAAACTACGTAATCTACCACATCTTCTACTCCTAACAGGAGCAGTTGAAGGGGGAAGTTCATCTACAATTGCTACTCTGCGAGGATCAGAGTTTGATGAAGATATGGTTATACAAGAAAATAATGCGCGTTGAAGAACAAGAACGATTAAAGAAGAAGAATAATGTAGATTGAAGGTTTTGTGAAACTAAAAGTGACTGACGCAACCACAAGAAAGCTTTAAAAACCGCTGAAGAGTCGCAGACCCAATCGACGAAGGCCACGTAGTACGTACATTAAATGGAAGTGACATGCGAAGCGATGGTTCTAAAGAAGATGCAATGATACATGGGAAACGGCGGCAAAAAATTCCCGCCATAAATACGTGCCACTTCCCAAATATTCAATTGCAGAATATTCGGCAAGTAGGGAGACTATCTGTATTGGTAAAAAATAAATGTTATACGTGAAATTATATGAGGATGACATGGCAAGATATGTGTATCATTAAGAAGATGATAACTGGAGTGTCGCATTAAAAGATTCACATTTTACAACATGTACGGACAAATCACTCACGAGATGAAATAGTACGGTTGCTCGAGCCTAAATTACTTAGTGAAGAGACACAGGCAGGATGAATCAAGACAGTAAAGAGGGAAGATTCATGAATCTCTAATTAATAGGAAGAAGAATCAGAATCGTTACGGAATCTTCATGAACAGTTACGGTTGCCAACTATAACGTTTCATTAATGTCATTAATACTCATAATGATTCGATCATAAAAGGGAAGAAACGTTATATTTATAAATTCCTATATAAGGGAAGAAAATTTCACTTGTAAGGACACGTTCTGATGAACATTGGAATATAATTACTTTCTTGTGTTTTCTATTGATTACTTTGTCATTTCTGATTTTGATTTCCTTTTTTATTTTTGAGAGAATATTAAATTTCTTGATTATCAGTAATTTGAGTATTTCTAAAAATAGGTTTTGACTGATAATCTAATTCTTTGGTTAAACACTTTAAAAATTATACTCTGTGGAATCCTATTGTAAATTATGGACAAAAAGAGGTGAATCTAGATTAATCGGACTCCACACATTGTAACCAGATGGAAAAATAAAAGACAGAGCAAAAGGTAATGGGAGAAGAGTACGACAAGGCCTAATGTGTCTGGTTGTAGGAGTACTGCATGCAGTTCAAACAATTAATACTGGAGTATATATTACTACTAGACTAAATATTTATACAGTATTTTTTTCTTTTCAATGTTCGTTATATTAACGAGCATAACCATATATTATATACTATAATAAGACCGATGGTGATAAGAGTATACTCCTTGAAAGCTATATTAAGCATGCAGAGCAACTTTTGGCTGTTTCTCTTCTTTTCTTCTCTTCTTAACTTTATTTATGGCTTTTATCACTCTTTTCTATACGCTTTAATAAAAGATGAGATTCCAAGGTATACATGACTATTCCACCACCGTATAAAGCCTTTTGAAAACGTTAAATTATGCAATTGCGGTAACCTTTTTTTTCCTTTCTAACTTAAAACCAAAAATGAGTCAAGCAGCATGATGCTGATGGAGATAGTCAACTGTTCACATTTAGTCCTCTTTATTTCCATCTTCTCTGTATTGTATCAATTTTATAGTATTGATGAAATGGTTTAAGAACCATGCATGAGAAACAATTAGAGATAGAGGTAGATCCAGTATATATATTAATTATGTGGGTTCAAGACTAAAGTTTCAACTACTGAACCTATCACTTTTTTTTTTGGTAAATAATTTTTTTTTTATTACCAATCGAAAGTGTATGTACATAAGAAAAAAAAACAAATTGACTATTAGACATGATGCCCCAACATCAAGACTACAGAAGCCAATGTAACCATATCATCTCACAACTATACCATGGTAACCTACTACAATCACAAAAGTTAAGGGTTTTTTAACTGATCAAGTTTCGTAGCTAATCTTGTTTGCATTGCTCCTTAAGATAATATGTTTCATAACATGCTTCAAATTTGACTGCGTACTCTGGAGAACTCTTTGGTTCCTTCTTCAAGTTACAGTACACACTAACCGCAAGTGTAGTCATTCTATTGAACACATCACATTACTTGAGTTATGGGTTTATAATTCAATATATTCAACAATTTTAGTGAGTTTTGAACAAATAAATTCATATTAAAACTAAAAATCATGAGAGAGTTCAGATGAATTCATTTGTTACACAAGTAGCCGTTCATATTTACTGTTTATTTTTTCTAGGCGGTATACATAAATTATATATTGATTTTACATAATTATACACATAGTATATATAAATTATACATATATTGATTTAAGATATTAAGTAGACAGCTATTTGGGTTAATATTCCGTTTCGTTTCTGCTTTCTGCATGTGGCAAGGAATTAAGTTGCTGGACTCATCATTAGGTAATAAATTTGATCATGCATTAATATAGCTTCCTAATAATATCCCAGCCTGTCGCGCTTCCTAATAAATCCTTCATCGGATCAATTAACTGCTTCATTAATGCTTTGTTTAATATTGCTGAAAATTAAATGCTTGAAAGCGCGTCAGCCTCCCATCAACTCATCTCCGTAGTGTTACCACATATTCCCAATGTTACATTTAGTTGACATAGTAATATTAACATGTGTATGATCGATCTTATGCTATCTAGTATCTACCGCTTTGTACTGCTTATTTTTATTACGGGTATTCAAATCGAATTAGAAAAATCGCACCAGTCCGAAAAGTCAAACCAATCGATTAAAAAATTTCATTAGGTTTGACTTGGTTTGTTATTGAGCAAAAAAATCTAAACCAAACCGACATATAAATATATACCTTTTAAGATTTCATATAGAATTTTCTTTAAAAATATCTAAAAATATTTGGGATCCTTTTATGGGATGTATCATTTAATAGAACTATAAAGTGCATCTCCATTTTTGTTTACTTTAAATAATGGGTTCTATCATCACTTTCTTACTATGTATTATTAAAATGCGGCATTCATATGTTAATATTTTTTATATCTTTTTCGAATGATAATTTAAAATTAAATATAATATCATATTGATTTTAATGTTTAATTATTAAATTCGATTAACCTTGAAAACGTATGTCAACGAAAAACTATTTTTAGACGACTAAGAAAATAACTATCATGTGTTGCTAAAAAAATGGTCTCATAAAAATATTTTAATAGATCATATATTTATCAGTCTTTTAAATTTTTACTAAACGTATGTTCACTTATCAAACTTTATTTATAACTTTAACAAAGTAAGATTGAAATAATATTTATGTAACAAAAAAAAATCGCAAAATTCGACAAAATCATACCAATCCAAATCGGTATAGTTGGTTTGAATTGGTTTTGATTTAAATCGAACCAACCTGGTCCATGCATGTACATCCCTAATTTTTACCATTCATTCCCTTTCAGGATCAGTTGTGGCATTCCAACCTTTACTGAGAGTATATGGATGAATCCCTTCATCCATATGTGTAAAAGAGACTAGCCGCACTTAAAAGCTAAATACTCTACCATTGAGTTAGCGACCTAAAGAAAACATCGAAAAAAAATTGTGTAGATCCAATACGAAGAAAAAAAGTAAAGAAATTAGACAAGACAACCAAAGTGTCATTTTAGAATACTTGTTAAATGTATTACTGGTTTAATAAAATTTTGAAATAAGCTTACAGTTTATTTGAGACGTGTTATATGACACCTTGAAGGCTGAAGCTCGATCACCTCCAATAGCACTCATCTAATTGGAGCTGTAAGCAGTGGCGGAACCAAAATTTCATTAAGGGAAGTCAAAATATAAAGAAATAAACTCACCAAAAAGTCAAGAAGTGTCAATACGTAGTAGTATATATTTTTTTCAAAAGAATTACCTAACTATACAGTATAATTTTTTGAATAAGGGGTGTCGATACCCCCTTGAGAGCATATGACTCTGCCACTGGCCGTAAGAATGAATTTAGAAAAATAAAGTAATAAAATGCTCTTCTACCTAGAGTAGAATATCTCTCTAAGTTTCATAGTTTTCTACTTCCCGTTAAATCCTTTTTACCTCATTTTCCGTTAAATCTTACTAACGGGGTTTGTTAAATATTTAATGGAGATAAAATATGATTATATTAAGTAAATTTAAAGGACCAAAATTGCTCAAAATATATTTAAAGGACTATTTTAAAGCTTCCACAAGCATAAGGGACCATTTTTGTCATTTTATCTTTAAAGTTAATTCCAATGCGTTAAGGACCATTTTGTGGGTAAAAACTAAAAATCAAAGGACTCAACCAAAATAAAGAAACAAAAAAGTAAAAAGAAAAGGAAAGGTTCGACTCAAATAAGTTGTGATTTCGAGTAACCGAGAATAATAAATTTTAAAAAAAACAAAAAAAATCCTTAGTCCTCCTCGGCTGTTCCTCCAACTCTATAAAACAGAGAGACAGAGATATAGCTCAGATGAGCCTATTCATACAATAGCCTTTTCCTTGGACGACAAATGAAGTAAATGAAAATTCAATCATCCGTCTTCTTCACAGAAGAAGATGGCTCACCATCACAATCAACCACAACACCAAAAGCTTCCATTTTTATTAGATTCTTTGTACTGCAAAAATGAGAGCTTGGACGTGTTAGACACAGAAAATTGTTTAACAGAGGAAGTAGAAGTAAACCCCAAGTCTATTTCTTTGTTAGAACAAGACTTGCTATGGGAAGAGGAAGAGTTAAGCTCTTTATTGTCCAAAGAACAAGAGAATCAAATGTATAATATTGTAATAAACAACCCATATTTGTCTGTAGCAACAAGAGAGGCCGTTGATTGGATTCTTGAAGCCATTGCCTATCATAATTTCTCTGCTCAAACTGCAATTCTTGCTGTAAACTACTTTGATAGATTTCTCTTCAGCTTTCAGTCACAAAGTGAAAAGCCATGGTTGAATCATCTTGCTGCTGTGTCCTGTCTTTCTTTAGCTGCAAAAGTTGAGGAGACTCAAGTGCCTTTACTTCTAGATCTCCAAGTATGTTATCTTAGAAAATCTGCAATAATTAACTTATGCTTGTTTTAATAATAATTTGAATGTTGGGGTTATTGATTTGGTGTTTTCTTGATATTTAGGTGGAGGAATCAAGATACTTGTTTGAGCCAAGAACAATTCAGAGAATGGAGCTATTGGTACTTACTACTCTCAAGTGGAAGATGAATCCAGTAACCCCATTATCATTTCTTGATTACTTCTCCAGAAGGCTTGGATTGAATAACCACATTTACTATGAATTACTTAGAAGATGTGAGAGAGTGCTTCTATCCACTATTATTGGTAAGCATCTATATGACATGAATATGTTGGCCCTTTATAAAGCTAGATTCTTGGTCCTCCATTATTTACTAACTGGTTCATGTTGTATATGTAAAAATTAGCAGATTTTAGATTCATGTGCTATCTTCCTTCTACTATGGCTGCTGCTACAATGTTACACGTCATTGATAGGCTAGAGCCCTGCATTGGAGAAGAGTACCAAGAACAACTTTTGGGTATACTTGGAATAGTAAAGGTTAGTATAGTTATTAATTCATGTCTTAAATCTTTCCCCAATTTGTTGTACTAGTTGTCAGTAGCAGATCCAATAAATGATCACTTTATAGTACATATATGCGACATACAACTCACAACGTTTAAATAATTGGAAACAGGACAAAGTGACCGATTGTTATAGGCTAATTCAGGAGGTGGCTTCCAACATTGATCTCAACTCAAACAAACGAAAGCCAATTGGTGCCTTGCCAGGAAGTCCCATAGGAGTTATGGATGTGTCATTTAGTTCTGATAGCTCCGATGACTCGTGGGCAGTGGCTTCATCAGTTTCTTTTTCTCCAGAGCCATTGTCAAAGAAGACTAGAACATAAACGTGGTTCCTGAGAAGGAAAAAGAATGTTGCATTAGACGCTAGATGATAAAGAGAGAGCTTTTTGGTTACATGGCGAAAGTCGAGAAGACCATGCCAGCTAAAGTCAATCAATAGATTCTCAAATTTGTTCGTGGATTAATCATTCCGTAGAAGACTATTGATAGTCAATTAGATACGGATCTATTGTGTCCAATAATGGCATGTTCTTCTTACGATTCACAAGTTAAATTGCTCGTCATATTTCCATAACAAAATTGACTCTTATTGGATAGTAGAGTTAAAGATGGCCGGCATTTTATTTGGAGGAAATTAAAATGCGGATTAACAGAGTATTAAAAATAATTTCATGTCTATTGTATAATTTGTTTCCTTGGTTAAATATTCGCATAGCTTTAATGTGAATAACAGGCTGTTATCGGTTCACGGGTTCAGTATTTCACGACCATATGAATTGAAAGTTATTACTCTATTTCTGCTAATTTTAAGGAAAGAGATATGTGTATTGAGAAAAGGCAAATATATCAAAAATAGGGTAAAGGGTGGATTTTGTTCTCATGTGGAGGGAAGAACTTGTTGTCGGCCACTGATTTATCTGGGAGTTGGATCTGCAATATTTTTGGTTTGACCTCGTTGGAAGAGCTAGTATCTTTTATGACTTTTGTTTTTCATATTGCGAGGTCTAAAAGAGCTTACTCAAATTAATAGTGTTTATATTAAAATATACATATATAATGAATTTATTCCATATATATATATACACGAACAATGCAAAATTTTATTTTACTTATATAGCATGTAATTACTCTATTTTTAAAGTTACCTTACCATCAGGCTTACTATAAAGAGTACTTACATGCATGTTTACTTAACATTATGGTATAAAGAATATTACTGTCACACTATAAGAGTGCAGAATTTGAACTCATATGGAGTATAATAGCTCTCTTATTTAATTGTAATTTGTGTATAAAGAGTAATTTGTGTATATACGACTTATCAAGGTAAAAGCATACAGTTTTTTCGGATCGAATACCCATTTCCTTTTCTGTTTATGTTAGTCCAAATGTACTTAATTATTACGGCCTCAAGGGCAGCAATTTAAGAACATGGAAATATATGTTATGCCCTTTAGTATAAAGGGATTATTCTACCCATGATTATCTCTGATCTAATCGTTTAGCTATTTGAGGTCTATAAAATGAAAATACAATTCATCCATAGAAAATTTTAATTAAAAAAACAAAGATGAGGTAACTTAATTTTCTCTTGTTGTTGGCAGAAAAGACCTCCACTAGAAATCTAGCATGTGCCTTCTTTACCACTTCAAAATAAAGAATCACAACTGGCTTTTCCTCTTTTATTTTTACTTTCACCTTTTCAAAGTTAAACACAAAGCTCTAGAAATTTATTCTAAATTGATAATATAATTCATTTTGTTGGTCAATCTATCGCACCATAAGTAGCGTGAATGACGGAACACTATTTAATATCTATATATTGATATTGTAAAAAAAAAATTTGGTCGACCTCCTCTAAAGGGCTAGGCAGCGGAAGGTTTTGTGACGAAATCTACTTTGTTATATGATGACAAGGTATGGGATTAACATTAACTAACTTATAAGTGGGAACTAATTATGTAGAAAATAAAATAGATTATATGATACAACTTGTTAAGTTACAGTAACAATATACAGTTCTTTAAGTTGACGGAGTATATAGGTTAAATCCTTATAAATTTTATGTACAATTAGTTGTATTGACTAACCCACAACAACGTAGTAATAAACGAAAAAGCAGGGCGAAGGGGAGTCTGTCAAATGATTGTCTAGCTTATGATTTTTCATGTGTCGATACCTCCCACTATATTTAATTAATAAATTATTAATATGTCGTCAAGCTTGTATGCTTAGTTACGTTTATAATATACATTCTAAATATTTTCGCTCAAATTATGGTATTATGCTAGTAAATAATACTTAAGTTAGACAATCTGTATCATCCTTGTTTGTCCATTCAAATCTCTTTGCAATATTAAAAGGATGATACAGATTGTCTAGAGGGAGAAGAAAAAAGGGCAAAGTTCTAAAGCAGTGGCATAAAAGCCAGGAAGAAGGTACTAATTTGCAATATTAAAAGGTGTAAAGGTGAGCTTATAGAGGATTAAAAGACGATTTGGATTCAATTAGATTCACTGTAAAAACAAATATGCACGCAGAAAAAGGGGCAAAAGATGAAAGGTGGGAAATGGAGAATTTGGGGGGACAATATCTTTTGATTTTGGTTGATGTGTCTTTGTTGGTCCTTTTGTTCACTGCTTTTGGTAGTTAGAAGAGAATGGACTTTAGTGTTTTCAACCCTTAAAGCAAAAGAAGAAAAGACAATGCCAAGAAATGGATTGCAGCGATACACAGTGTGAAGGAGTAGCAGAGTTCTTCTTTTTCTTTGTTTTCGGTTTGCCTTGTATTAGAACCCGATTAATTTAAATTTACCTTGTGTAAAACTCATTAAGCGCTCCATACAAAAATATTTTTTATTTTCAGGATTCAAAGTCGAGCTCTGTGGTTAAGCGTGATCCTATTCATTTCTCCACAAACGATTGTAGTGATAAGAGAGAGTTGGTTCCCGATTAAGACCTCTCTTCTTTTGGAGAGCTATTTAGGTGGTCATCCTTTTGACCTAGTCATCAACATTTATATTCTAAAGTCTAAGCACCGAATATATCTCCATAAAAAGAGGTGCAATTTTCTGGCACATTAATTTCTTTTTGTTAGGATCGGTAAATCGGGTAGTGCGGAATTTAGCTAAACAATATTATAATGACAATAATAAAGACAATGCAAGTTGATAATAACGGCAATTAAAGAAGATACAAATTTAACGTGGTTCGGTCAAGGTGACCTACGTCCACAAGCGCAGATGAGTAATTTTACTATACCAACAAGAGTACAAAAGAGAGTATAAAATTAGAGTAAATACTCTAATTTGTCCCAAATACCCTAAGAGAATAACCTCACAAGGTCACTCCAAAGAAAGAGTTCACACAATTGTTTCCCAACACTCACTCTCTTCTAAAATACTTTATAATGAAATAAAGGAGGAGAAAGAAAGACAAGAGTGAAAAGCTTTTGCATTGGTGTGTTTGCAAATGAGGAGAAACTTCTCTATTTATAGCAAGAAATCCTTGGCCTAATAATGGATATTATGTCATGACAAATGTCATGATCCACAAATTTTGTTATAATGGATATTATGTCACGGCAAATGTCATGAAAATTTGGCCATATTACAAATCTCCACATTGGCCTAATTTCGGCTTATATATAGTAAATTTGCTCCACCTTCTCCGCAAAAACCTCAATGGGCAAAATCATTCTTCGTAAATACCAATCAAGTTCAGGCAAAGCTTGAACTTGGACATTGGAATAGGTTTTGTGAACATGTCAGTAGGATTGTCTCTAGTGTTGATCTTCTGAACAGAGACTTTTCCTTCAGCAATGGTTTCTCGGATGAAATGATACTTTATATCAATGTGCTTCGTCCTCTCATGATACATTTGATCTTTAGTCAAGTGAAAGATACTTTGACTATCACAGAAAATGGTAATACTACCTTGGTGTAAACTGAGTTCTGCAAATAGATCATTCAACCATAAAGCTTCTTTAATCGCCTCGGTCACTGCCATATATTCTGCTTCGGTAGTAGATAAAGCTACTACATGTTGTAATGTAGCTTTCAACTAATAGCGCAACCACCGATGCAAAATACATAGCCTGTCAGTGATCTTCTTTTATCAAGATCACCTGCATAATCTGAGTCTATAAAACCAACCAAAGTGTTAGTATTTCTCCCAAACTCCAAACATGTGTTTGAAGTACCTCACAAGTATATGAGAATCCATTTCACAGCATGCCAATGTGCTTTACTAGGGCAAGCTATATACCGGCTTACCACGCTCACTACTTGTGAAATGTCTGGACGTGTACAAACCATTGCATACATAATATTGCCGACTACACTGGAATAAGGAACCTGTGCCATGTACCTCTCTTCTTCCTCTGACTGTGGGGACTGAGTATCTGATAAATTAAAATGAGCAGCAAGAGGGGTACTAACTGGTTTAGCATCTTTCATGCCAAACCTCTCCAAGACTTTCTCCAAGTACTTCTTTTGGGTCAGAAATAGCCTGTTGGCTTTTCANATCTCTTTTGATCTCCATGCCAAGGATTTTCTTAGCTGCTCCCAAATCTTTCATCTCAAATTCACTTTTCAGCTGACTTTTCAAATTGTGAATTTCTGTTAAATCCTTAGCATCAATGAGCATGTCATCAACATATAATAATAGGTACACAAATGAACCATCATTTAACTTCCGGAAGTAAACACAACTATCATACATGCTCCTCGAATAACCATGACCCAACATAAAGGAATCAAACCTTTTATACCATTGTCTTGGAGACTGCTTTAATCCGTACAAGAATTTCTTCAACAAGCAAACATGATCTTCTTTTCCTTTAATTTCAAATCCTTCGGGTTGATGCATGTATATTTGTTCCTCAAGTTCTCCAAGTAAGAAAGTTGTCTTAACATCAAGTTGTTCTAATTCCAAATCATATATGGCAACGAAGTCAAACAAGACACGAATAGAGCTATATTTAACAACATGTGAGAAAATATCATTAAAATCAACTCCTTGTACCTGACTATAGCCCTTTGCAACTAATCGTACCTTATACCTCGCATCTTCAACCCCTGAAATGCCATCATTTTCCTTGAAGACCTATTTGCAACCAACAATTTTTTTTCCAATGGAGGCTTCACAAGAGACCAAGTACCATTCTTGTGGAGAGACTCAATTTCTTCATTCATTGCAATCAGCCACTTGGATGGGTCAACACCAGAAACTGCTTCTGAATATTTTGATGGTTCTCCAATTTCTTCAGTTTCTTGTGCAACTGAAAAAGCAAATGCAACATAATCTCCAAATCTTAATGGTTGTTTACCTTCTCTTCTTGGTCTATGTTTGGCTATAGAATACTCCTCTTCTTCTGGTTCAACTTCAGGAGTCTCAACTTCAGGAATTTCAGCTTCTGTCTCAACTTCAGGAATTTCAACTGTATATTGCTCCAAAGTTGATGAGCTTGGCTCAGAAGGAATGCCAATCTCAATCTCCGCCTGGTTCTGTGTACACTTTCTTTTATCTGTATCACAAGAACTAGAAGACTCTTTTCTAGAATATAACATAGAGGATACATCAAAGGTTACATCTCTGCTAATTATAAATTTTAGTGCCATGGGATCAGGATACCATAGTCGGTATCCTTTCACCCTAGATGCATACCCAAGGAAAATGGTCTTTTTAGCCCTTGGCTCTAATTTTCCATCATTTACATGCATGTATGCAGGGCAACCAAATATCTTTAAATCAGAATAATTAGCAGGAGTACCTGACCACACTTCCTCTGGAGTCTTAAAGTTCAAAGGTGCAGAAGGAACTCAGTTGACAATATAACAAGCTGTAGAGATAGCTTCTGCCCAAAAGGCGTTTGTCAACCCAGCAATTGAAATCATGCAACGAGCCTTTTCCAAAAGAGTTCTATTCATCCTTTCTGTCACACCATTTTGCTGAGGTGTCATTCTCACAATACGATGTCGAGCAATTCCTTCATTCTTGCAAAATTCGTTGAATTCATCATTATAAAATTCCAAACCATTATCTGTTCTAAGCCGCTTAACCTGTTTTCCTGTTTGCTTCTCAATCAAAACTTTCCATTGTTTGAAATTTAAGAAAACATCACTTTTATTTTTCAGAAAATAAATCCAAACTTTCCTTGAATAATCATCAATGAAAGTTAACATATACCTGACACCACCTTTTGATGGGCTATGTGAAGGACCCCAAAGATCTGAATGAATGTAATCCAAAGTACCTTTTGTTCTATGAATCGCTGGAGATTTGAAGCTGATTCTTTTCTGCTTTCCGAACACACAATGTTCACAGAACTCCATATTTTCGGTACTTTGGCCACATAAGAGACCTCTTTTGCTGAGGATGGAAAGACTTTTTTCACTCATATGCCCCAATCGCATATGCCACAATTTGTGATGTCATAATCTGATTTATCTGATATTGAAACTGCAGCAGCACCTGTAACAGTAGATCCCAAAAGAGTATACAACGTACCAGATCTGCGTGCTTTCATGATCACAAGAGCACCATGAGAAATTTTCAGAACTCCACCTTCACCTGTGTACTTGCACCCAAGAGATTCTAGAGTGCCCAAAGAGATAAGATTTTTCTTCAAGTCAGGAACATGTCTAACATCGGTGAGAGTTCCCACCACACCATCGTGCATTTTGATTCGGACTGCACCTTTTTCAATAACTTTGCAGGCAACATTGTTGCCCATCAAGACAACTCCACCTCCAATAGATTCATATGTGGTAAATAAATCCCGACTAGGACACATATGATAAGAACAACCCGAATCTAAAATCCACTCATTGTTAGATTTGAAACTATTATTAGTTGCTAAAAAAATAGTTTCCCTGGTCTCATCAGCAGCTACACTTTTTTCGGCAGTGTCAGTATTTTTGTGCTCATTTTTCTTTTCTGTATGCCTTTCTTTGTTTTTTAATTTAAAGCATCGAGAAATAATGAGACCTTTTTTATGACAATATTTGCACATGACATTTTTGTATCTGGATTTTGACCTTGATTTAGGTTTCTCACTACTTGAATCTTTCTTATTGGATCTACCTCTTATGAATAAGCCTTCCCCTTGGTTCCTACTAGTTTTCCCAATAATATCTCTATCTATTTGTTCTTTTGATTTCATAATAGATTTGATATCTTTATAAGAGATATTATCCTTTCCATAAAGTATAGTATCTCTTATATGTTTAAACGACTGGGGTAAGGAAACAAGCAATAACACAGCTTGATCCTCATCTTTGATTTCAGCATCTATGTTACTTAAATCCATAAGAAGAGAATCAAAAGTATCAAGATGTGTAAGTATAGAGGTACCTTAAGCCATACGAAAAATGTAAAGTTTTTGCTTTAGGTAAAACCTGTTTTCTACTGTTCTTTTCATATATAGGGTTTTAAGCTTTT